TTTTTTTTAAAAGGGTTTTTCAAAAAAATTTGGAATTCCAGGGAAAAAAAAAAAAAAAAAAAAAAAATCAAAAGGCAGACACAGATTTATCTCTGTGTTAGTAGAGATCTAAGTCTTGGCAATCGACACGATCTAATGTTAAAATATTAAGAGCAAACAAGAGGTTTTATTTCAGCCGCCTGGATCAGAATCTGCCGTTTATCAGTAAATGATTTCCTGCCATCAACAGGCTTTTAGGAAAACGAGCTGTTGTAAGGAACGCTCGAGGTTTTATCTCAGAAATAACAAAAAGAGAGAGAGAGAAAAAAAATCCGTAACAATGAAAAATAATGGAAAAGCTCCATTAACACAAAAAAAAGTCAAACCAATATCACTTTTTACTCGTTTCTAATCTGAGCTCAGATTAGATGGGACTAAAGAAAAAAATGATTACGTAATTTTATTTTATTTTTTTTGATGAAAGGATCTTACTGTTAACAGTCTGTGGAACGGCTACAAAGCTGAGGTAGAAAGCAGGAGGCAGAACCTTTAGTTCAGAATAAAACCTTATTAATTACTACCAATCACTACTTTTCCAAAAAGCTCGGCTGTTGATGAAAGTAAATGTTTACTGACAGACGGCTCCGTGTGACATTTACCTGAGAACTAGCAGACGTTTATTTCTTTTTTTTCCTCTATGTCTGTGAATCCGAATCAAAATAAAGATGAGCTAATGTTAAAAGTGATATTAGAAATTTGTTTTAAACATATTATACATTACAGTCTAAAGGTTTTCTTGTGTAAATACTGCCATACTGAGGTATCTATACCGACAGACCAGCTCGTGCCTACAATTAAGAACAAAAAAAAAAAAGAAGAAGAAGCAGCAGCACACATTGTGAAAGCCAATGTCATGCCGTAAATACTGGAGCGTGGTTTTAGGTTTGGACTGGGCCGGTTGTCGTCGCGCTCGTGTCCGTGGAGACCTGCGGTCCCATCAGCTATCAGTAACGGAGCTGACAGCGAGGCATCCAGAGCAGCTGCTTCTCAGCTGACACCGTGTTGGGGAGGGAGAAGGGGTAACTTGTTCTATTGCACATACACTTCTGACTTTTCTTCATTTCTTGGCTCCCAATAAAAGAAAAAAATAATAATTTTTTTTAAAATCACAGTTATGAACAGGTAGCAAGGAGCAATTGTTTTTGTTTAAATAAAAAAAAGAAAAGCTTTTAAAAAAAAAAAATCGCTCGACAAAACTGCAGCCAAAACTAGAATATAATAATAATAATAATAATGTTAATAATAATAATATTAATTACCAACAATATTCACAAAAACAACAAGAACCACATAGAACTACAGAGAAAAGATGGAGTGGGGGGGAGGGGCAAAAAAAGTTGACCTGCTTTTATACACGTCCATAAAAAACACCAACAGTGTAAAATTGATTGTCATTTTCAAATAAAACTGTCATAACATCCAAGGCATAAAACAGTGAGAAACAGAGCAGGTTTTAAAAAAAAAAAAAAAGAAGAAAGTTTGAAGACGGAGGGGGTCAGGGGGGGGATTGACAGAACCGAAAACAGACAGAACCCATTTCATGCTTCTAAAAACACTTTTGGCAGCCGTTAGTGCAGAGGAGCGGCGACAACAACAGTCTGAACATGCCATCCGTCCGTCTGTCCGAGGAAGCAGCCTTTCTTTCCCACCTCATCCCCGACTATCGGATATTGGTCGATTGAGGTCCGAAGAGGAGCCGGAGGTGAAAGGAAAACAGAAGACGGAAGGGTCCAACGCGCCTGTCGGAGCAAAGTCGGAGCGGGACTCAAAGTGCGGAGGAAGGGGGCGACGGCGGCGGCTGGGAATCCAACAGGACGACGCATGGCTTTGATTTCACCGAGCCCTGTGAGCAAGAGAGGTAACAACTCTTGGAAAAGCTGAGTAAAGGGGAGCTTTGGGAAGAACCCAACGAATCCGGACGCTCGCTAAAGTTTGAGCGGTGATCGTCACCGACGTCGCCAAGCAACGGCGGTCTGTAAAAAAAAAAAAAGGAGGGGAAACCCGCTCCTGGTGCAGAGGGTCTCTGCCTCCGCCCTAATTCTGCCAGTCGTCGTCGTCGTCGCTGTCCTCGCCGCCGGAGGAGTCGTCGTTGGCGCTGTCGCCGACCGCCTGCCGCGTTCCGTTCTGCTGCCGCGCGGCCATGGCGGCGGCCTCGGCTGCCGCCCTTGCCGCGGCGCGCTCCTCCGCCTCCTTCTGTCGCAGCGCCGCCGCCTTCTTCTCCTGCTCCGCGTGGCTCTTCATGTGGGCGCTGCGGCTCTTCACCTTGTAGAAAATCCTGGGAACAGAGCGATCGGCTGAGTTACCATGTGGCGCAGTTGAGTTTCTAAGGGGACTGGTGACATCACAGTCGGCAAAAAGAACGACCACGTCGTCACGTTTTAAGCGGGAAAAAGAATATGCCTACGTTGGCAGATAGAGAGGCTTGGAAAATTACGATCTTACCATAGTTTGTCGTTCTCCGACCAGAGTTCAATATCATTTATTGGGATTACATGTAATAGACATATGATGAGAAATTACAACTGGAAGGAAAATGATGTGTTGTTTTCTCATTTTTAACAGAATATCTGAAAAGTGTGGCATGTATCTGATGTCGGTTCCCTGATTCAATTATTCTGACGATTAAATGGAAAAAAATAAAACATTTAAAAAACAAAATTGATCTGTCGACTATTTCTTGGAGGCAGATTACAAGTTGCATCAAAGAAAGTGCTAAAAAGGAGTTGTTTAATTATTTATTTATTTATTTTTTACAGAATTAGTACTATCAAAATCCTTTTGTTCTTCTGACTAGTCTTCTATAAAAGGTGAGGTTTGTGGGGTGTTGTGTGGCGCAGTGGACCTGTAATCTCCTACGTTTCCTCATTTCGAAGACATTTGGTTGCACTGAATTTAATTTAGAGGCATAAGAGTAAGAGGGGAATACAAATACATTTTTAGGGGAAAAAAAACGCTTTAAAACCATTTATAATTCCTCATAATTGCACAATTATGAACTAATTTGTGTGGGTCTATAAAACCTAATTTAAATAAAATACATTAAATATTTTGAACAGACTCAGTCTTAGAAATTAAATAGAGCAAAAAAAAAAGAAAAAAAAAGAAAAAAGAAAATAATTATTTAAATTTAATGAACGTGGGTAAAGCCAGAAATTTCAAAGGAGTGGGATTTTATTTTTTACATTTTCTCAGAGATGCATGAATGTTCCGTGAATAAAAAGTTGAAACCACAAACATGCATTGAAACTGCTAAAAACATTTGAAGCTACAGAAAAATCCTTGGCGTTTCTGTTTAAATGCAGTCCGCCTCGCGGAAGGAACTGCGCAGGTCGGTTCCATCAGAACCAATGTCGGGTGTAAAGCGACGAGTATTCACACCCTTTGAATAAAAACCATCGCCTCTAATGCGGACGCTCTCAGAGCGCTTTAAAGAGCGAATGCAGCTCTCGCAGAGGCAGAGCTGCATTCGCTGAGAGGCGAGATGTGCCTTATCTGCTCTGCTCTTCAGTTGCTAGGACACGGCTGGCAATAACAGAACCGGTGTTGCCAGAGGACAAGCTGTTATTCAACCAAAGCATGACAGGAAGGGTAATTCTTTCAAACACAGACCATGAAACGCTTGCCTCTGTTTACCGATTCAGATTCCGAGAGGGCAGTCGAAGCAGCAGCGTTTCCTGCTCTGAATCGGTAAGCAGTCCGCTGTGGGAGCGGCGGCTCCGATCGCTCACCTGCCGCACTTCTTGCAGGGGAACTCGCCCTCCTGCCCCGCAGAGGCCTTGTTGCCCGACGGGGGGCTCGGCCGGCGCGCGTTGCCGCCGTCAAAGCGCGGTTTGGTCTGGGTCGGCTGGGCGTGGTGGATGACCCTGGACACCGGCTGCTCCCTTCCCACCTCCTCCTTCATGATGAGGACTGTCGCAAGCTAAAAGAAAAAAAAAAGTTTTAGTCCAAAAGGAAAAAACTGAAGGAGGAAGAAAAGAATAAAGAAAAAAATGAAGGAAAGAAAGAAGTAAGCAAGGAAGGCATGAGGGAAGGAAGAAAGGATAAAAGGGACAACGTTAGTGAGGAAGGAAAACATAAAGGAAACAAGGAAGGAAAGAAAGAAAGGACAAAGAAAAGGAAGGAAAAAAGCAAGGAGTAAAGGAAAGAAGAAAAGAAGGAAGGAAAGGAGAAAGAAAGTGACAGAAAGGAGAAAAAAGAAAGAAAGACAAAAGAAAGAAGTAAAGGTAAAGAAAGATGGAAGAAGGGAAAGGAAAAGAAATGAGGAAGGAAAGAAGGAAGAAAAAAAGAGAGAAGGAAACTAGGATAGATGGACGATCATACGGATGGTTGGATGGATGCAGCATTTACAAGCCAAGAAGAAGAATAAAGTCTGAAGACTATTCCCAACTCCTCAACTTATCCAGACCTGTGAAAAATGATCTCATGCTTTTACCAAGCTGCGTGTGGCCATGTGTCCGATCACATAACCATCGAGGCGGAACTCGTCTCCACACAACATCAACCGGACAAGTGCAAAAGTTTCCTGCCGAGTCATTGTTTCCCTTCCCAGCACAGACAGGAGACAAGTTATTTCTAGAAAACCCCAGCGGGGGGCAGCACATCCAACGCCTCGCCACCAGCTCCGAGTGCAGCATGAAAACTGTGTGTGATGAAATCACGTTTTTTTTTTTTTTTTTTCCAGCCAGGAACGCACGGAGCAGATTGTTGAAATCCAGTAAATCACGAGGAGCTTCGGCCTGCTTACGGATTCAGTTCCAAACACGTTTGCGTTTATTCACAGTGTGATCTAAATGTGTCTGTGTTCAGATTTCCTTTGAGGAATTTTTTTTAAACACACAACTTTAACGGATTTAAAGAAGAATAAGGAAGAAATGCAAAGGAAGAACTTCAAAGGTACAAAATGCAGCATGTAACAATAAGACCATAGTGATCAAAGCCTTCACGACGGGTCGGTCACTTCACACTTACATTCTCAGTGGACGGCAGCGTGTGCGCCACCCTGGTGGGACACACATCCTGTTTCCTGTCAGCTGAACCATCCCACTTCCTGCTGTCCTCCTCCTGCTGCTGCTGCGGCTCCAGTCTCTGAGCGGCCTGCGAGAAAAACAGCGAGTAAGACGCAGCCCTCTGGCAGGACACAGCCGTCTTCCTGAGATGTCCGCGACGTTGTTGAAGCGAGGTGGACGATCAGGGGGGATGAAGATCGGGGGAACACTGGAGATGCTCGCGTGACCGACCTTGTGGTCCTGCTCCTCCTCTGCCGTCCTGCTCTCCGGAGGCTCGTTCTCGCCGTAAATCAGCGCTCCGTTGCGGCCGACCTTCACGTGTTTCTTGTACGTGTAGTAGAACTCCACGCACTGCGCCACGGTCTTGGTCGTCACCTGCACGGACCGTAAGCACAGCTTCACAATCTTTGCATATTTCCATCATAACAAAAGACGAATGCTTCTCCAAACACTCGTTCTTTGCTGTTATGAACGGCAAAGTAATTGTTTTAGTTGGGTTTTGGCGAAAGATTTCAGCTTCTAGATTTGCCACTTTCTACACCAAGTTTTTTTTTTTTTTTAGTTGTGAAATACTTCGTACGAGGATGACAACCTCAAACAGAAAAATCTAGTCTTTAATGTGAATACATTTATTCACCGGGGAAAATCATATTAAGCAATAAAATGACCACAATTTCTATGAAATAAGTGCAGCTTATCAAGCCATAAGTTCTACTTTTATGGTTTGATAAGGAAATACTATTATCTTGCCAGTGTGAACAGGAAACAGGATGGTAAAGGAGGGAAAACCTCACCAAACTGTGTCTCCTCCTCTGCCTCCCCGCCCAAACTAAAAGGAAAAAAGGAAAAACTTTTTCTGTTCCACTAATGCAAATACAGGCATGTGGAGTTCGATCGCCACTGCTGGCACCAGAACCAGAACTGTGTTTATTAGTCAGAGGAAAACAAAATTAAGCTTAGCAAAAACACTATCTGGATTGTAAAATGATGAACATTCCAAAGTAAAGGACGATCTGTGATGCTGTGGGCCAGTTCATCTCCCAGAAGCCAAAAAACATCGCTGAAATACGACGACGTTTTAAATTAAAAAAAAAACCGGCAGCCTCTGCCTGAAAACAGAAGCTGGGTCATAATTGTGTTACTGAGAAGAATAACGAGTTGAAATCAAAAGATCAAAACAACAGAGAAACGTTTCAAAAGACACTAGTAAACCTTCATCCAGGCTTCTGTAGGGGCCTTAAAGAAAACTCCACTCAATGTGGAGTCAGCAAAATAGAACCAAGTCATTTAAGTTTGCACATGACTTCTTACAGTTTCTTGTAGCACTTGACATGAAATTGTGATTTAAAAAAAAAAAAAGTGGAGCAAAGACTGAGTGTGCAAACCACATAGCCATCGACAATGTGACACTCTAAATAGGCCTAACTTTGACCTCAAATTCTGCTGCACCGTTGTGGAAAAGCAAAGCAAAAAAAAAAGAAGAAAAAACCTTGCCTGACAATGACAGAGCAACAATCGAAACAGAAACGGAAACGCTGTTCCACAGCAACTGTATTTCCCTTTCCTCCGCCCACGCAGCGGGCAGAGGACACAGTATATCATGTGTTCCTGTTCCGCTCGGAACAGGAACACATGATAACGGCGGCCTTTTGTTGCCACGGGGAGAATCAAAAGTTTCCTTTCCTTCAGACTGAAAGCACGCGTACCTGCTTTTGCACCATGAAGAAGTCCTTCTTACACGTGGCCATGCCTTTGTTGAACAGACGCCTCTCAGCTGCCGTCCAGCTGTCTGATCCTGCAGGAAGGAGGAAGGGAAGAAGATAAATATATATAAAAACATGTTCACTCATCTAAAGTTGCTCAGTAAGAATGAGTGCAAGGAGACAGTAACAAGTGGAGTCCCATCCCCCC